AAAGCCATCATTGCTGTACAAAACTGCACCAATGATATGTAGATTAAATACACTGTGAAGCAAAGGGGAAATCTGTGTACCAGGCCTAAGGGTATTTCTTTTCCCAGTTTTATGCAAGTCTTCTCCACCTGCTCTAATTTTACATTTTTCAAGACAGTGATAAAGAAGTTTTTTCTAAAGGGTGTGAAAAAGCAATACTTTCACTTCTCAGCCTCCATTAATTACATCTGAGAGTCTGAATTGTTGCTGCTGCACACATCCCTCCCACTCCGCCAAATTCAAACACAGGCCTCAGGCTCTCTATAATTATTAGCACATTGTCCAGGGCGGAGGGAAACGCAATGTGCGACAGATTCTGAGGAGCTTACAACTGCCTGGAAGCTGAATGTCACTCTGCATGCTGCTTTTATGACACTGTTTAAACGGGCCCCATGACAACCGAGACACTGAGACTTTCTGAGCTGTAGCTGCGGCCCTTCCAGCTGGTCCTAAAGTCCCGTTGTGTGCCAATGTTGGATGTTGTTGGACAGGAAATGCCTGTGAAGACAACTGCAGACCATCATTCATTCAAGAGACAGTGGTTTTGAAAAAGATGGAAAACAAAAGCAATCTGAGAGTGAATCTTTATCAGGAGGAGCTGAACAAGAGTTGGTTAGATAAAGATTAGGCAGAGGGGTCTGTTTGAGGAACACAATATTTTTTTGGTTCAGTGCCCATGGCAACTGGAGGATGCACTGCCCTGGGTTCGAAAAGCGTAGGCCTGGAGGTAAATGAAGGCTGACGGTGGTAAGGACAGGGTTGTGACAGCTAAATGAATGGCTGTAATGTAAATTGTCCAAACTCACTCGCGGGTGATGAGCATTGACGTTTGATTATAAAGTAAAGATTTTCAATTAACTACTTGATAGACACATTTCTTATGAATTTCCAATTTGACACGTCATGGCTGCTGTCTTTGCATAATTTATATGCTTTTCCCAAAACAGATTCATGTTACTGATAAACACAAAGCTACTAAAGACTTCATATTAAACTCACATTAACATGGTATATATCATTTGTTAAATTCTTACAAAAACTAAAGTGCAAAAATTACAATTCAGCATTTATACAGGGGGTTATGTACCGAATTCTTTCTTGGTTGGAAGCTGTTGCCAGGCAGCCAACGGACACCCCAGGAAGTTACAGCTCCCTGCCAAAAAACAGTCCAACATACCCCCCCCAATAAAACAACAAATTGTAGTTTTAACACGTTTTTTTGTGCGAATTACGTGTCAACTGGTGAGCTTTAGAGGTGCTGTTAGGCCGATTTTGGACACAGCCAAGCTAGCTGTTCCCCTGTTTTCAGTCTTATAAACTTATAAATGAGCTAAGCTTCAACCAATTCCTTTAATCTTAAATAATAAAACAGTAAATATAAAGGAAGTATACCAATGCAACATTCATAAGTGTAAAAGAAGAATTGTTAACATACAGCTATGCTTCACTGTAGGTGATCCATGCACTGCAATTGTGTTTGTTTTCTATTGTCAAAACTTCTGCATATGTTTGCTTTCCATTCCACAGATTCTGTACATATCTACACCAGCCAGCCCAACTAACATTTAAGACACATATACACATTTGGATTAAAAAAATGCTTGAGGGTGAAACTGTCTCTGAGTGCTCCACTTGGCCTCTGACTCTTTAAGTAAAGTGAGCATACCATCTCTAAACTCCCCAGCTCTATGGAAACAAGTGTGGGTAGAGACAGACGGAGACCGCCTGAGGTGTGACAAAAGCAACGATGAAAAGTGTGTCTATTCAACTCTAGATCTCACTGTATGAGTGTTGGTGTTTGTGTGTCTTTCACTCGAGTAAACGCAGTACACGCATGGATTGTAGACAAGCAGACTAAAGATTTACAGTGGCATGACAAACATCATTAACAGCTGGTTGAGCACCGGGCAAACTGGGGACGGACTGTTTCCTAGAAAGCAATGTTGGAGGCTTTTAAAATATGAGTTCAAGAGCGAAAGACTCTTTCATGATGAAATGCACATTGTCTGTATGTTTCCTGGTTTGCTGAATGAAGAACTGCAGTGAGATTAAAATCAAAGAGGAACGCCTGCCCTGAGTAAACAAATGACAGGGGAACTGCCAATGAGCTCGATTTGAAAGTATTGTTTGAAACCACCCCCTTGAAAAAGGCGTACAATAGTCCAGTCCACCCCCACCCAGCGACATACAATGGCTAAACCTGAACGCGAAAGAGAACGAAGCAGGTCTGCTCAGGCTTTCATTCAAATCCAACACTTCCGCAGTAGCTTTGACTAGGAGGCTGGTCACAGGAAACACATTTCTAGTGAATCACATCTGAAGTCCTAATGTGACTGTTGATGCCTGTATGAATGAGATTGCAGGGTTAATTGTGTTTTTATAAACACAACTTCAGGATGGTATGAGTGTCTGCAACTTCTGAGGCAGGTTTTTCTTGACAAAAACACAATTGAATTGAAAAACAGGGACAATGCAAACTCTTAAGTCATGCCTTTTAACTGAGGGCCACAGGTGAGCCTGACAGCATTTGACACCGGCCAGTGTGTGCAGTGCATCTGCTGCTGAGCGCAGTGACAGCTGTACAAAAGGCCTCTGACATGTGCAGCATGATTCACAGATTCAGCGCTGATGTAACATCAGGAGCGGTTTCAAAACTGCTCTCCCTTTCCACATTTCCTCTCTTGAGAAAAAGCTAAATAGTTTGTAGATTTCACTTTGGAATTTCCACATCCACAATGGAAGTTATCAATGTAAAAATCATAAGCAAACAGCATTATACTTGATGCTGCAGAGGCATTGCCCTCAACTGTTCAAATAAAGTGGCTCCATTACAATAGCATGCTCTGAAAATGAAGAATTCCTGCAAGTGTTGCTTTTAATTCACAAAAAAAATATATACTGGAAAGTGAGAGTGGTTTCGGGAGAGATAACAGGCTGTATCATTTGTGTGTCTATCTTTTGTGTACCTGCCGGTCCCTGTCCTTCATCCCGGACACGTCACATGCACAGTGCGGCTCTCGACACAGCAACAGGTCAAACTTCAAATCAGCAGCCACAGAACAAACACCACATGAGCAAATACAGAGATAGAGAGCATGCATTCCTACAAAGGAATTCCTGGACTGTGACTCTCCTGAACATTGCTATAGTAACATACTTTAATACCTTTAAAATGTAATCTTCCCAAGAAATTGGATAGTGGTTATTGTGCTACTACTGCCTAGCACGCAAGGTGAAAGTTATAGACATAAACCTGCTCTGGAATCAGTGTTTTACCTGTCTGTGTTTATCTTGAACCTGACACACTGTGACTGTTGTTGCTCACCGACCTACACCACCAATTTCCATGACAACTATTTTCTTCTTTCAAGCGTTTCCTGACTTCACACAGTGATGTCACTACCCACAATTCACACCCGCCTCGTTCGATGCATGTAGAGGGGAAGCCGACATTACACACACAGCTTTTATAGCCTTGGAAACCCATGAGCAAATGTACAGTACAGCGGGTAAAAAAAAAAAAAAAGATAGAAAAGGAATGGCTCTGAAACTGTGGCCTGTGCCTTACGGCCACTCACATAATCAGGGCAAAATGCCAGGCTGGGCTTTCGTGAGGCTGTCACCCTAACCTCAGCAGTTACACAAGACACTGCTCTCATTGAGTTCTCAGTTACCCAAATTTGCTCTGCTCATGAGCAAATTCTCACCAAAGAGTCAGATCTTTATCATGGTGAGAATATAAATTTTGGTTAGTAAGAAATGTGTCACCTCTGGTTTATTGAAATATCCTACTTTACTTTTAACCCTTCTTTAAATAGACACATGTAGAGTTAGTAGTTAACAAGATAATGCTCAGAGTCCTGTTTCTTTCTGTGCTCTTCTTACAAGTTTAGGCTGGTGGACTTTTACCACTCAATGGCTCGAGAGTTGGATCAACTTGACTTGACGTCTTTAAATTTGCTACCTTTGTTTGAAAATGTCAAAAGCCAAGAGTGGAGTCAGTTTCCCCGTTCGACAAAGTGATACTATAAGACCATCGGCAATCACTACCCTGAAACTAGAGATCTCATCACTTATTCACAGCCAGTGACTCACACATGCAAGTGCAGAAAGGAAACAGGCCGAGGCTCACTTCACTTCACAGTTTGGTCTTACTAGTCCCTCTTTCAACCATTCGAAACGCCCTGAAACTCTCACTTCCTCTATTTGACGAGCTCAACTTTTTCAGAAGTGAAATATTACCTTTGCTCCTAAACGATCACAGCTGCTTATTGAAAAGGCGTCACTTCCGTACTGATCTGGATATATTTTTTTATTATTTCATCAGCATAGCAAAAAAAAAAAAGGGGGGGGAACAAAAGTAAAACAGAGCAGTATCTATGTACTATAAACAGAAGGTTGGCGTGTGCCTGCAGGACCTTAAAGTGTACAGGTGGATGACGATGATGGGTAAAGAAAAAGAAAAGAAGAAGAGG